CACACACGGTGCCAAAAAATTTTTTTCATTTATTTTTCTTTCTGCCAACTAGAAATTGGGTCAGTGATGTTGGGAACTTTTGTTGTCTTTAATACTACCCTTGCTTAGAACAGTGCCTCACACAGTCAATGTTGGTTGAATGTATATTTTATGAATAAGTGAGAGAATGAATGCCTGACTTCTCCTGCTCTGTAATTATAATTTTTTTCAATTACAGTTGACATACAATATTATATTAGCTTCAGGTGTACAACATAGTGATTAGACATTTATATAACTTACAAAGTGATCACTCTGATAAATCTAGTACACATTTAACACCATGCATAGTTATTACAATATTATTGACTATATTCCTTATGCTATGCTTTACATCCCCAGGCTATTTTGTAAGTACCAATTTGTACTTCTTAACCCCTTCCCTTTTTTCACCCACTCTGCCACCTGGAAACCCTGAAAATGTTCTCTTTATCTGTGAGTTTGTTTTTGTTTTGTTTATTTTGTTCTTTAGATTTCACACATAAATGAAATCAGATGGCATTTGTGTTTCTCTGTGTGACTTACTCCATTCAGCACAGTACTCTCTAGGTCCACCCATCTTATTTCAGAAGGCAAGATTTCATTCTTCTTTATGCCTGAATAATAATCCATTGTATATATGTACCACCTCTTCTTGATCCATTCCTCTATTCATGAACACCCGGGCTGCCTCCATTTCTTGGCTATTGTAAGTAATTCTGCAATGAACATATGGATGCATATGTCCCTTCAAAGTACATAGTGTTCGGGATTTCTTCAGGTAAATACCCAGAAGTGGGATTACTGGGTTGTTCTTTGTCTCTTGTTATGGCCTTAGTTTTCAAGTCTGTTTTGTTGGGTATGAGTATTGCTACCCAGCTTTTTTTTTTTTCCCATTTTCATGAAATATCTTTTTCCATCCCTTTCCTTTCAGTCTGTGTATGTCTTTCAATCTGAAGTGAGTCTCCTATAGGCAGCACATGTAAGAGTCATGTTTTCCTAAACATCTCTATGGAGCAGGATTCGCTCTAACAGGGCTCTGGTGCCTGCCCAGTCTGGACTTTGGTTGTGTCCCTGTGGAGGCAGCCTGGTGGTGCTCAGATGCAGCCTGAAAAGGGCCACAAGGTGTGCTGGCCCCAGGGGTTCCTGGGTGGGGCCCCACCTCAGGCTCCCTGGAACGAGCCACAAAGCAATCCACAGATGGCTGCCACCCACACTGGTCTTGGAAGTGCCTGAGAGAGGTCAAGCCTTGAACCAAGGCTGGCCACCAGTAATGGGGCTGCTCAGCAAGAGACACAGAGCATGTGGAAGCCAGATGCTGCTTGTTTGGGGTTTGTTAACCTTTGAGAGACTTTAGGAAAGTCCACAGCATGAGTCAAGACAGGCTGTTTGTATGGAAAAGCTACTGGAAGTGGCTTGAGTGAACCTGAAAGTTGAGTGGGATGGGGCCTCAGGCAATCACCAGGGCAGGGCAGACAGTGTTAGCCAGGTTGATGGAGACTCACATATGGCGGCCACCTGGGTCTGCGTCCTGGGTTGGGGAGGGCTCAACAAGGGAACAAGGGGTTCTGCCAGCACTTCCATCTGGGAGCAAGCTGCCTGGCCGGCCCTTGCCTGGAAGCCAGCCAGTTCAGTTCCTTCACATATTTCCCCGGCACTTTTGCAGCTACTGCCCCAGCACTGGAGCTCAGAGCAAATGAGTCTGTCAGTGAGTTAGTCCATGCTTGGGTCCTTTAAGAGGAACACCTGGGACTCCATCAGCCTTTGTCTCACTCAGCCACAATCTCTGCTGGTTTTTACAGCCAGAAGTTATGGGAGACCTCTCTTCCTGGCACTGGAACCCTGACTGTGGAGCCGGGTATGGGACTAGGACCCTTCACTCCTCAAGGGGGAAGCTCTGCAGCTGAGATGTCCCTCCCAATTTTTAACCACCATATGTGAGTATGGGGCCAGCCCATTCCTTGTCTTCACCCCTCCTACTAATTTTGATGTGGCTTCTTCTGTATATACTTAGTGATAGAATTTCTGTTCAGTTAGGCTTCAGGTGATTCTCAATGATGGTTGTTCTGCAGTTTAGTTGTAATTTTGATATGGTTGTTAGGGGATGCAAGCACAGAATTTATCTACTCCACCATCTTGACCCTGTCATTCCAAATTTCTAAGACAAGAATTAGAAGGATCCCTTTCATATTTTTGAAGAGAAACCACTCCAATCAAATGCTGGCCAGCCTATGAGTTGCCATCCTTGTGTCAGCTGCTCTGCTGTCTACTCAGAGACAGGGTTGAGATGGAGTCACTATGCATAGTATAGAGTGTAGGCACTTACAGTGTCAGGCAGGCCTATACCCAGGTGGGGCTTAAGTGACCCAGCCCTGACTGTACCTTGACTTTTGTGAAGTACCAGCTTAGCTCTAATAGACACAGAGAGGCCATATACCTTTGGCTAGAAATGTCAAGGTCAGGAACTAGGTTTGCTCCAATAGGTACTAGCTCTCTGGCCTCAGTTGTAATTTTCCTTACTCTTTTTTATCTGCTCTGCATTTTATGTTGAATTTTTATGTGCAGTTAATAATAATTATAGCTAATATTTTAAAAATTCTCTATGAAACTACTACTTTATGAGAATATTTATGTAGTTTAACTCCTGCAATGCTATGATCATCCTCTGATTTAGGTACTATGATTCTCTTCATTTTGAAGATGAAGAAATGTGAGAATAGAGAGAATATAAGTTGCCTGAGATCACTAAGTGAGTAACAGAACCCAGATTTGAACCCAGGAAGTCTGGTTCAACCTCTCCATCTAACAAGACTCTTTCATACATTCATTCCCCTTGGGGGTTAGCAATATGTCTTTATTTTCTTAGAAATAACATTGTGAGAAGGTAAAAACATGCAAATATGCTGTTAAAATGTCAAAATATCCTGGGTAAGCTATTCTTAATAAACATTTAAAATATATCAAATATACCTTTGGGTCTGTGCAGCTTTACAGATTTAAGATCTAGTACTCTCTATGACCTTTGCATCTGTTTTTGTGTATGTACACAAGAAATTAAAATTTTTTCTTGCCCTGATTGGCAGAATTTTCAGTTAAGTAATTTGCCAATTTTTATAATAATCAAATACCAAGTCCCTAAAATACTGTGCTCCACTTAATGTTTTCTCTTTGGATTTTGGCAGTATTCTCTAACAACAAATTTTAAATAGTGTCAGGAACACTTTAAATAAGTTAAGGTTTATACTAAAGGCAACAAACGGCTTTTTTTTTTTTTTTGGTTATTTTGAGCTATGTTTACAATAAGAATATAAACACTTAGGTGCCAAATAGATGCTTGAGAAAGAAAGACTTCACTGATACCCATTACTTTAGCATCTTCCATATGCATGGCACCATGTTAAACACTGGCAAATGTACATCGATGTATACAGCAATACTCCAAATTCAAGTTGCAGGTTTTTTTCTGAACCACAAGGACAAACATTCAAAGTCAGTATGTGACTGCCTCAATTGTTTGTAATATCATACAGTGTAGACAGAAATGAGTAGTTGCATCCCTTGTACCTATATAGCTTTCCACCACTAACTTCATGGGGATTTTCTCTTTAAAAGGCTAAGGTGTTCCCATTACATTAAATTGAAGCAGGTAAGAATTTATTTATCCTTGTATTTTATAGTATGGGCGATATAGGGATGAGAAAAAGGCCATATTTACAAATATCCATCTGTGGACTTCTTTCTTTTCTAACTTTAAGTAACATGTTAGTTCAATTCTTGTTTCACACATGTGCTTTTTGGAAAAAGCCATAATTTGCTCTGTAGAGTCTTGATTTCCATCATTTTGGTGAAGTTGTTCAAGGTCACATGGCCCATATTCATCAATCATGTGTGCCTCATGGATTTCCTTTGTCAGTTGTACATATCAGTATGATTAATGGTTGAGGGTTCGTATTCAGCAATCTGATTGGATAACTGTCGTTTCGTTTGTTGGACCTTATAATTCAAACAACATTGATGAAGTTGTCCAAGGAAAGAGGGCAATGCAAGTCAGTTTTACTTATTATGAACAACAAAGCTTGGTCATTTGTTAATGTAAATAGACTCTGTACTCGGTGTGCTTCCTGGGCCTCAGCTAAGAGATTAGTGTGGGGCATTAACTCTTTGAAGTGACTATACTGTAGCATTAAGTAGTAGGTCTGTGATGTGATAGAGTGACTATCATACTGTGTTGAAGGCTTCATCACTGGGAAAATAGGGGTTCATGAGTGTTTTAATAAAACCTTACTTAATCTAAAAAATATATTTATTTATTAATTATAAAATTACTTAATTACTTATCTAAAGAAATATACTTTTTAAAAAGAATGATAGATGTTTATTATTCAAAATAAAATAAAGAACATCAAATACGTTTCCAAATATCCCCTGAAATCTTACTGCCCAATGATAACTCTTGGTTTTAGAGGAGATCTTAAAGCGATATAAGGGACTACAGAGTATGGAAAGAGATTCAATGTTTTCTAGAAATTTAGTAAAAGATAAAAGATGCATTTTAAGTCAGTCGAGTTTTTTTGTTTTGTTTTGTTTTAAAGTAAATTACGTTGATACAGCTGGCTTATCTTTTTGAGGGAAACCAGCTTGTTCTCCATCTCACTCTTTAAACTTATGTAAATTTCAAACATCAACGATTTTTTTAAAAAGTGAAACTATAAAATTATTATGATAAAATGTTAATATTTCAAAATGGTTTTAGAAAGCCTTTCAAAATGTGTTGGAAATTTAAAAACAAACAAAACCCTAAATTTGACTGAATAAAATAGAAAAAAAAATCAGTATATCAAGAAACAAACAAAACATTGTGAAAATCATAAAATTAAAAAAGAAAATGGGAGAAAATGGCAACACATGACCGAGAGCTAATTTTGCAGTATCCTAAAAGTGCTTACTTGTAGTAATCAATAAAAATAAAATAGAAACTACAATAGAGGAATATACAAATACTTCTTCACAACAGGGAAAAAATCAATAAACATGTACTTTCTTTGTGTTCAAAGTAGCAAGAAGCATATTCTTACTAGTATTTAACGAATACATAGTACATACTTCATTAGTATTCTAGGAAATTCCAATACAATCCATAAATGGAAAGGATTTTATTGTCAATAAGCCAGGGAAACTTAATTGTCATTTTTCCAGCTTATGTGGTATTTAGCCTACATGTGGGTTCTTTACCTGGAAGAGGGAGGGGATAAGACCAGCAATATCATATATGATTCTACATGGAAGTCTTGGAATTTTCTAGATTTTATGTATAAGTGACAATACTCTATTTATATTCTGAGAAGTATTTGTAATTTTAATACAGAAATAAATGATCACTGTTGTTCAAAATATAATTTTTGAGTACACTGTCATGATTGCTATTTATGCCTCAACCACAATGAAACTCAGACTATTATTAAAAAGAACCTTTCCGTCTTTCTTTACACTGAATCCAGGCTCTTGCAGATCTTTCACAATTTCTGCTTTGAGATCAGGTGGTGCTGTTGTATTAAAGTTGCAGGTTTCTGTCAAAAAATCCCAAAGCAGGTCTCCATTTTCATTGCCATCAATAAAACAGTCAGATATGTCCATGGTGGACAGAAGGTCGTAACACTCATACTTAATCCCCAACTTGTCCAGCATCTGAGTGAGATCGGTCGATGTGACATACTGGCAGAGGTCATCCCGGGGTAAGCGGGACCCGTACTTTTTCCATAGCTTGTCCCAGCCACTGGCTCCTGTGCAACAGAACAAAGTTCATGCTTTCATTTATTCTTTCTTTCATTTACCTACTCTGCCAGGCAGTACATTAGATACTTGGTATAGAGTAGTCAATAAAAAAATTTCTTGCCTTTGTGTAGCTCAATTGAAGGAGTCAGGGGTGGGGAGAAAGTTAAATAAGTAAATAAATTGTATATCAGATGGTGCTAAGTGCTCATGAAAAACAAATCAAAGCAAGGACTAAGGAAGGTTAAATAGTTGTATGGTTGCTGTTTTATAGAGGGTGGTCACAATCTTTTTTATAATGTGACATTTGAGCAGAGACATGCCAATAAACCACGCAGATATATCAGAGAGAAGATTACCCCAGGATGAGAGGAGAGCAACTGCAACAGCCTGAGGCAGGGACATGCTTGGCATGTTTAAGAACTAGCCAGGAAGCCAGTGAGATTGGAATTGAGTGAATAAGGGGGAGAATGGAAGGAGATGGGGAGCCACTGTAGTGCTGTCTGATAGAACTTTCTGGACTGATGGACCTGTTCTCTATTTGCATTGTCCAGTATGGTAGCTAATAACCACTTGTGGCTATGGAACATTTGAATTGTGCTAGTGTGACTGAGGAAATGCATTTAAAAATATATTTCATCTTAATTCATTTAAATTTAAATTTCAGTAGCCAAATGTGGCTTCCATATTGGACAACACAACATTAGGTTGACTTAACCTGATTTGCATTTTAATTAGGTCACTCTGCCCACACAGATGAGAATAGATTATAGGAGCATAAGAACAGAAGCAATGAGACTTGTGAGAAGGCTACTGCAATAACCTGGGGGACAGATGATTGTAAGTTGGACCAGTGAGCTTAGAAGTGATGAGATGTGGTTGGATTTTTTATATGTTGAACTCCTAGATCGACCTGCTATTTGCCAACAATTTGGATACTTGATGTGAGTAAAAGAAGAGTCAGTGATGACCCCAATGATTTTGCCCAAGTATCTGAAAAGAGAAAATCACCATTACTGGAAATAGGAAGAATGAGAGAGAGCAGTTTTAAATGTATCATCAGGTGTGACTTAGAAAATGTAAATTTGAGAGACCCATTGGACATTCAGATGGTGGTAAGAGGAAGGCAGTTGTTTATGTTAGTCTTAGGTTCAGAGGAGAACATCTAAGAGTAAAAACTGAAATTGAAAAAAAGAGCACAATAAATACAATGATGATTTACTAAAACTAAAGATGGGGTAGCTTCTCATGTCCATCCACTTACTAGATGCCACCTTGGACTGACTGCCAATAACTAGGATGATTCCTACAAATTTTGTCACCAACTTTAGAAGATGTTTTAGCAATGCCTGTTGTATTGAATTGAAAATGCAGTGTAGAGGCTAAGAAACGCAGCAGCTGAGGGAGAGAGATATAGGTTGGATTGTTCTTTCGACACTTCATGAATAAGAGGCTTATTATTTAGCCTCTCAGAACCTCAGTTTTCTCATCTATAAGATGGGCATAACCACACCTACCTCAAATGCAACTGCAAGTTATTAAATGAGATACTTTAAGAGAATCATTGCACAATGCTAAGTGCATGGCAGAAGTGCAATAAGTACTTACAAAATAAATGAACGTTACGTGAAATTAGTTTGATAATATTTCTATGGGCTGCAATCTCGAGACTATGAAAAAGCAAACTTGCTGTTTGGGAATCTACACTTACAATAAATCAAAACAAATGAATACTGATTTATGGACCTTCTAATGTAAGCGTGTAATAGTGGGCTGTTACCTACACAGCCTGTAGAGTACAGTCATTAAGAGTAGCCATTAAAGCTGGAATACTTGAGTGTGAAGCTTGGCTTTTCTTCTTACTAGCTTTATGAATCTGTGCTTCAGTTTTATCAATTGTGAAACAGGAATAATAATAATGATAGAATCCATTCACAGAATTTCTGCAAGGATTAACTGAGTTAAGAAAGTAAGTCACTTAGAGCCATGACTTAGGGCCGGCCAAGTGGCTCAGTTGGTTAAGAGCTCATGCAAGAGCGCAAGCTCTGAGCAACAGTAGTTCGATGCCTGGCCCGAGCTGAGTTGCCGCTGAGGTGCCAACAGGTGGAAGGATGGCTCAGCTAAAAAACAAAAACAAAAAGAACCATGACTTGCACATAGTAAACACTGTTGAAGTGTTAGGTAATTACGTTGGACTTGGCCAAAGCAATATAAGAGAGAACCTACATTCTATGCATTTCCATGATTAAAGGTGAAGATTTCAAAGGCTTGAATTTTTTGGTTCCCAAACCCCCTTTAGGATCTAATGAAAATAATTGACTCTTCTGAAAAGTGCACAAACAATACATACCCACTGTTGTGCATATAATTACAGGATGCTCAAAGAACCCTCGGCCTCATCCATGGACTAGGCTAACGTCCCCTGATTTAACTCAACAAAAAAGACTACCCAAGGCAGGAAATGGTAAATAATAAACAGCCTAGATAATTGATGTTCCACTTATATTTCAGAAGAGGGAGCGATAGCTGCAGGATATGCCCTAGGAATTAGAATGAAGCAGAAAAAAAAATAAAACCTCAGTTCAATGGGGAAAAAAATGAGGGTCATGAGTATATATTAAAAGATGTTTCATTCCGAATAGAATGATTATCTTCCCGAATAATAATTTGCCTATAAACAAGACTTTACAAGAAAATAAATTTCAGTGGTTGAGAAGAGGCTCTGTTATCATTGTTATTTTTTTAACCTGGCAGAGAAAAAAAGAACAAAACAATAATTGCAGAAAATTTGCTGGTGTCAGTGTTCTGTGACTCGGTGCCATTTCTAAGCTGAGCAATTATACACTTTCTGACTGATGCATTATCATAATGGCTCTCGGTGGGCACAACATATGGTGTTACTTTTGTTTTCAACATGATACAAACCAGATTCTTTCTTCTCTGCTGTATTAAAAATAACACAGCATGATATGCCCCCTTCCTTAGTCAGGTAAGGAGAGGGAAGGACAGAAAACTTTAGTTGTCTCCTTGTGGCTAATCTCCCTTAACCAAATAGATTGCAATTTAATTAGCAACTCATTCCACGAATACCTGGCTACTACATTTGCAGAAAAACCTGCCACTGACATCATTTTAGTGTGGGATACACCTCTTTTGTTCTCATTTCTCTTTTTTTTTATCCCCCAAATCAAATCTTTTATCTTCATAATCAGGAACTTCTGCTTGTTATAATTGAGTATTTACTGAGCTGGGCTAGTTCTGTAACGGGTACTTAGAAACAGAGGAAAACCTCTCTTTCCTCAAGCAACATGTATTCTAATAGGCTGACCAGCAAATGCTGTCATTTAATTCTAATTTCAATTTTTCTTTGTTTTCCAAATTAGTTTCACCTGCCTACCCTTCATTGCTTTTGTCCACCTATTTCAGTGTGCACTGTGTGTGCGTGTGTGTGAATATGTGTATCTTCTTTACTGAGTTTTTCATTTATTAAACCTATTTTCAAATCTCCAGAACTTTCTATATTCTTTGCTTCTATCTCTATCATGTAGTAAGTTTTAGCTAAAACATGGTATATATATAATGGATGGACATTCAGAACTTGCTGTAGCTTGGATATCATAAAGGAGAAATAATAAGCAATTAAATAATAAGCAATTATTCAGTTGAACTCAAACACACTTACTGCATGTCTTCTAGACATCAAAGACTTTGTAAAGACTGGGACTATAGATAAGAGGCAGAGCCCCCTGCTCTCGAGAAACTCTCCTTAAGTTCCCAGTCTGCCTCTGATAGGAAACAGCATACTGCTGAAAGTATTTACGTATTGAGTCCTCCATCAAATTAGCAGCCTTTCAAAGGCAAGGAAAAGTAATCTTTGCAACCTTCACAGCCTAGCAGTGACTGACTGTAGGAGCTCAATAAAAACGACTATCCTATGCAGCCAGAGTGGGACTGAGTACAGACCGTGTTTTGAATATGGCTGAACACACATGGCGCCGTATCCAAGCTAGGTGCTCTGCATGATTAAATCTAGAAACGGACCCATATTTCATTATCTTACAATCTAATAAATTTCAAAAATGAGTGTCCATATGGTGCTCAAATAACTGAGTAATTCAGTCTATTCAGAGAAATAACTCATCAATTTAATAACAGGTCAGTCTCTAAGATGGATAGGTAAGAGCCTTACCTGTGTAGCATATTCAAGGCGACCCTATAGAGCAAGATGTTAATCCAAACATACTTTTATCTGCCTAGATGAAATATTGGCTAGATGAGTGTCTTAGAAATTTAATTGGATGATGAATTCTAGGCTTGTCCAAATCTGTCTACAATGAGCACTAAGTTTTCTGCATTGTAGTGTAGCTATGAATGATAGTATTGCCCTGAAACAAAGGAAATATACAAATAGGTTTCTTGACTTCTAGGTAATTATGAAGCAGATTCCATTTAGAAAGGGACTGCAAGAAACCTGAGAAAAAGACAGCCTAATATGAACAATTTTGGTGTAAGTGTTCCAAGTTTTTGAGAAGGACGTTTAGGACAATGGTTTTTATACAGGGGTGAGGAGGGAAGGTGATCACGCACCTCAGATGGCCTGGAGAGCTTTCCAGACTTGTTTACTATCCACAGACTGGGTTGGCAGACAGGGTGAGGTGAAAATGACTAATAAAAATGTGGATCAATTCTATACATGTTGATTGACAATAATATAAGACAAACCTGATGGGAAATTTCTTGTACTTAAACTTGTTTCCAAAAGATCGCCATGATCTTTTTTTTTTTCCTAAAAGTTGACCCATACATTTATATTGACTTTAATACAACAAAGCAATTAGTACTATTTTTTTAAAAAAAGGAAATTGCAGCCACTTCCATACACTGAAGGGGCAATAGAATTTATCCCTGCAAAATATGTCATAGTTAAGACAGGTTCATAGGTGCACAGGTTTATCTAGGTGAAAAAGATAGAGCTAAAGGGGGTTTGCTCTATGTATAAATCAGAGGGGTGGAAGCAGGAAGTGAGGAGTTGGTGTCTTAGGAAAAGCACTGAGTTAAGAGGACATGGGTAAGGTCTAAAAGAAGTTATGAGTAGGTGCAAAGGAAGTGGGCCCCAACTGAGCAAGAAGAAAGCTGGAAGAAGAGTAGCTGTGGGACTCAGATACTCAATTCTGTTTTTGCTACTCTTCCTCCCTATAAATGTCAACATCTCCCAAACTCAAAGGTGCTTTGGTGACTGAAGTATGGCTATGTCCATATTTGGGGCAAAGCAGGATAGGATAAAAAAAGGTAGCTGTAGCCCATGTAAGGTTTGGTAACAAATCAAAAGTTGATCTGGGTGCAGAAATTTGGGGCAAGCAGTGACTGGCAACCACAAGGAACATATAAGCATGACCCCCAGGAATCCTCAGGAGTCATGGAGCAAGTGACAGACTATCCAAGTTACTTGGGATAATGGCTCTGATCATGTATTCTGAATTTTTAAGGGCAGTATAAGCCTGTAGACTGGGCAATGTGGAGACATTAGGTTACATTAGGTTGATGAGCAGATCAGCATATTTGACAACTTGATTTTCCTTTTCGGGTAGAATATTTTCTTTAACTGCAAAGGAAACTACTGTATATTGAACAAGGATTTATTTTTATTTTTTTTTACTTATATTTAATTAATTTCTTAATAACTCTTGTGACAAAAAGAGGCAATAAATCAATGACTTTTAGCCTTAGGAGAGCAGTGGAAAGTCCAAAATACAATGCCTAAATCTATTTTCTCCTTCTGCTAAGTGGTTCTTTAAGAAGAAATGTATATGATATTTATTTTATAGCTGTATAAAATTTTCTAAGAAGTGTATATGGTAAAGGAAGGATGTAATGAGAGTCCCTTTAATAATTTGACAACTATTATTTGCTACGTTCTCATGCTTGGTGACAGTATCTGTTAACAATGTTTTCCTTTTAGGGATATCTGTCTCCCATGCTGTGTGCAGTAATGAAGAATTGTGAACTGCGTACTGAAAAAGTTAGTAAAATACTTCTACCATCAAACCACATGGACTGAATAATATTTGACTCAAAATACTTAAAAAAAAAAAGCTGATATTTGAGACTTTACTCCCTTTCTTTGATTTTTCCCTCAAAGTATATATGTACTAAGACAATGTACTCATATACATAGTACATATACATCACATATATACATAGGTGCATATATAATTTAGGTACGATTATCCATAAATAGCCCTTGAATAAATTTACACTCCTAGACCAAGTTCATACAGCTAGGAAGTGCCTCGGCATTCTTGCTTCATGTATCATCCTACATTTCACTGGGCATGTTTTGGTTTGCACGTTTCTTCATGCCAATAAACCATGGATTACATTGACTTATTCATGATATAGCCAGTAGACTACTGTATCCATAAGGGCACTCTGTCAATTCTCAGCTGCTTGTACACTACTCATGCCACTTTCTAAAGCTTAGTCTGGCTTTTTCTTATCAGTAGAAATTTATTCATAGAAAGCTGCCTTCTGACATGCAAATACTTCTGAAAATATTTAAGAATAAACCAACCATAAATAAGAGTAAATCTTCTATTGATATTAAATATGTTCTAAAATCAAACATATTACTTCTGGATGAATTACTGTTTCTGTCTGCAACACATTTTCTGCATCATTGTTGCAGATTATCAAGAATAAACTGCCTTCAATATTGATAACTAAATTTACTTCTGCATTCCTAAATGCAGTACAAAGTGCTTTTACTAATTTAGAGAGAGGTTAGTAGGAGGCATCCAGTTAATATAAGCCCTTCTAAATGGGAAGACAGACCTCTCCCACACAAATGAATATTTCTAACTAACCAGGGATAAAAATAGTATATCAAAATATTCCCTTGGGGAAGAGGTTGTGTACAGGAGCTCTCATTCGCCAAATTCCCACATGAGTTCAAATCCAGGATTACAGGCAACAGCCATGTTTGCCATCCTTAAAGCCATTCTTCATATTTAACGATAAATGAATTTTGTGACATATGGTTTTGAGTATGGGGTCTGGTATAAACTTAGGAAGATAGGGACTGCTGTATATCTATTATAGAATCAACCTGCCTAGCACTGTGTGGCCAGTTCATAAAGATTGCTGAATGAAAGAAGCAATGCATTAATGAATTCAGCAATGTCAGTGTTTCATTTGTTAACATGTTTACTCATGTCCCCTGTGTGGTATTTATTATACCCCTGGAAGCAACAAGACAGGATCAAATGCCCTCTTTGAAAAATAAAACAACACAAAACATTTTTGATAGTTATTTGAGAAAACCTATAATGAACAGTATTGATAATGGCTCTAGAATTGCAAATTAGTCAAATATGAAATCACAAATATTTAACCTTTATTCATTAATAAACATGATACAGGGAAAAGGGGCATTCAAAGGACAAAAAGGAGGTAAATAGAAATATTTACTATTTTCAGTCTCAATAAAAATATTCCTAATAGGTATATTTGCTCTATCTTATATAAAAAAGAATTTATATATAGGTAACAACAAATTTTCCCAGGAGAAAGAAGTAAACAGGCATCTCATTCTACTTGACCCCTAAATTGAGAGCTGTTGTGAAGGACTTCCCTAATAATGCCTTCAAATACATGCATGTATGAACTACTGTTGTTTTAAAATTCAGGCCGGATGAAAATAACTTACCTGACACAAGAATAATAAGAATCTTAGCATCAGTAGCTAAGAGACTATGGAAGAATCTCAGCGTAGCTGGGATGTCTTTCACATAATACAGCATCTGGAAATGAAGGGAAGGAGAAATGAGGCACTTTTATACGTCAATGTCTTTGTTGCTTGAACTAGATACTCACTAGAAAGTTTGATTTTCAAGTTGAGTAGATTTTACTCAACAAAACACTTAAGACATTTAAAAGTTAAAGATGTTATATAGAGAGATGCAATAATAATGTGAGAAAATATTTGAGGGAAGCAGAACTATATTATTTGCTCAACTAGACCAAATAGTTTTAAATTTACTTTTTCTGGCTTTCATAACAAGATATTCATAGCTGGAGATACTTAGTCTGCACTCCACATGGAGGCAATGACTCTATATTACTATACATTTTGTGAATTGTAGTTCTGGGAGAAAATGGTGACAGCACTGTAAACACAGACCCCATTTCATGGAACGTTGCTTTAAAATTAAGCCCTTTGCACTAGCTTCACCATATGCTCACAGATGCTTTTTTTAAATAACAGAAAATGTGACAGGCTCTGGTGTTGACTGATTCTCTAGGAAAGGACTGGATTAAGCATTAAGTTAACAAGATGCTAAGAGTCAGTCTACCCATTTTTAATAATTCTGCACCATCCTTGGTGAAGTGTAGGGAGAGGCCTTTCCACCCAACACAGATAGAGCTTAGAATTATACTGTGTCTTTGGAAAAGTCATGACGTATTTTGTTTATGTTTTTAAAGGTCATTTATTTATATGAAAACAAAGATCAATCAATGATATATTGCCCATTTTGTTCGATAACCTTTTGCCATCTTTTAGCGAGCTTCATAATTCCTTGTTCATAGAAGGAACTGCCTTTATTTGTGAAAAACTGAACAAGGTGCTGATTTACAGCCTCATCTGAATGGAACGTTATACACATGCAAGGAATTTTGAAGAGAGTGAAACAAGTGGAAGTCTGACCGCGCAAGGTCAGGTGAGTACGGTAGGTGTGGCAACACATCCCATCCAAGCTCCAATAATTTTTGATGGGTGATCAAACTTGTGTGTGGTCTCACGTTGTCGCGATGGAACACAACTCCTTTACAATTAACACGTTTTGGACATTTCTACATGATGGATTCATTCAAACTGTCCAATTGCTGACAGTACACATTCAAATTGATTGATTGGTTCCTTGGTAGGAGGTTGAAAAACACAACACCTTTAAAATCCCACCACACTGAGAGCATAACCTTCCTCTAATGAATGTCTGCTTTTGATGTCATTTGAGGCAAATCATCACATTGGGACCAAGACTGCTTGGGCATCACATTGTTGTAAACAATCCACTTCTCATCACCAGTTATCAGTCCCTTCAAAAAGGATCATTTTCCTCATGTTTATTGAGCATATTTCAGATGTTTACACATGCCGTAAAATGAATTTCTTTGAGTTCATGCAGAACCCAAATAGCGAGCTTGCTTACATATCCGAGCTTCTTCAGGTGGTCTTGAACACTTGAATGATGGATGTTCAATGTTTCTGCCATCTCTTGTGTTGTGTAACAGGGGTTTGACTCAATCAATGCCTTTATTTTGTCATCATCAACCTCAGTGGGCGTCCCTGATCAAGAAGCGTCATTGAGATCAAAATCACCAGCATGGAATTTCATGAACCATCATTGGCACTGACTTCTTGTAGAGCATTGTCACCATAAACTTTATGCAATTTTTCAAAAGCTTGATTTGCGTTCTTCCCTTTATGGAAGTAAAACAGTAAAATATGGCAAAAATGCAGTTTGGTTCTCCATCTTCAACTTGTTGTAAAATCTCCAAATCTTAACCAAATCGCTCAGTGTTTTTCAGAATGAAGCTAGAACTGTCCACTGTCAAATGACAGCAATAACATAGATGTGAATGACTCTAGTACTTCCAAAAATGAACTAGTGCCATCTGTTGCAAACATGCGTCAGAACTTATCCGAAGACCCAATATTATACATTGGCAGTGTGAAATTTTCCCTGAGGGCTTGTATCCCTAGAATCTACTTTCGCAGACACTTACTTCTTATATCTCATGTTCATCTCTCTTGGACAAGAATTCAATAGTCTATATAGATCCCCATGATAGAATTTATTGCATAAAGCACAAACAACTTAAGATATGCCTCTCTCACTTCAACAAATGAAAAAAAAAAATGGACCTGCACATGGCCTATGCAGTTTCAGGGGCCACATTAAATATCATGTCATTCCATGCTGTTCACCATAGGGACCATACATAGATGGGTACCTACATACAGATAATCCATAAGATGGCTAAAAATCCATGACGTGACCTAGTAAAAGAAGAGGAGGTGAGCCACAGTAACTGCTATGAAATTTGATCTAATAGACACAGATTCTCTACAGTTGACTGTGTATATTAAGTTGAGAGTGTCAGGACTAAAAGGAACAATGAAGAGACAGAGACATAGCACAGAAAAATGCAGAGTAGACAGAGAGGAAGAGAATGATAGACCAGTAATGCAGAACAAGCAGGATTGCTGAAAGAAAGACCAAACATGGAAGCTTTGAGAGAAATGGGAGAATGGAACTCTGAAGCTGCAAAATTTTATAACGGGTAAAGAATGGGTCCAAAGAATAAATGGAGGGGTTGGCTTTTGATAAAAGGAGGCTTTTGCAATAAGATGAAAGAAAAAGATGGTACAATTGCAGCTATGTTTGTAAATTTAGAGGGTGAAAAGTGATGAGTTTCTATCTGATGGTTTCTCTTTTTCCTATAAAGTGTGAGGTGAAGTCATCTGCTGGGGGAAGTGTTATGGAGGTATAAGGAGAGAGAGGGAGGTACAAAATAGGAGGAGGTGGGAAAGGGAGTTTAATAGAGAAATATCATGGGCTTGATGGGCTGTGTTAACTAGTCCCTCAAAGGTAAAAGCTTTTGTCAGCTAAGAGAGGATTGCCTAAATATTCCAATCTTGGAGTCATTTCTTCCTTTGATTTCTTTTAAGTGTATTCTTTTTGGGTGGCTGTACTTGTGAACTATAGAAAGTAAGAAGCATCTTGTTAATTGTGGTATTTCTAAAATATACACATCTTCTAATGGATGCCTGTACACCTATATGCTATCCAGAAATATCAGTGGATATTTGTCCCCATACCATCTATTGAATGTCACCCCCTTTCCAAGAAATATACTAGTGTATTTCTAAGAAATATATTATTAGTGCTGGATGATGGAAATAAATTCCTACTGAATATTAACTAATACTAATAAAACTTTATTGACCTGAGAAATCATCTAACCTGTCCCTTTTGTCATGTGCACACTAGCCAGGTCATCAACAGAAGGCAAAAGCAAGAGGATTAAAAAAACTGAGACATTGGTCCATCTAGACCTACTAGACCTACTGAGAGCTACTGGAGAACTGTGCTAAGATATGATACACTCCACTGTCCTCAGATCTATCTATGAACTTTAAGTCCTATAAAAATTAACTAAGATAACATTGAAAAAAAATTCAATAACTCTGGAAGTATTTTGAGTAGAGAAAACTGGCTTGAGAATTCTTAGTATGATCAACATCTTTATCCTCAATTTGAGATATGCTCACTTGTAAAATCAGAAATCAGAGTTTCATTTTTCTTTCTAAAGTTAAAATATTAGGCACTCTTCATACATATTCCTGAAAAAAAAACTTCTTTCTGAGAGTATATAACAATAAATATTTCTTACCTGAATCATATGAATAAAGTCCCATTTCTGAAGTTCTTTTTTCTCCATCACTCTATTTTGATATTCAGATGATGTCTCCCTATGCCAAGCAAACTTTATGTTCTCGAGGTTTGATGACTTGGCTACAAACTCTAAAATACAGAGAAGAGGTAGCATACCATCATTTTAATTGCAAATGTGGAACCCATTTCCATTTAGAATTTTAATGTAATCAATGTTATATACATAACAGATATAAAACACATTTTTCTTTTTTATGTAGCTCTGAAAGACCAGAGAGTACATTCTGATTTTATTCTAGTAGTAAATGAAATTAGAGGTGGGGGGGGGGGAGAAAGAGCCAATAAGAAATAATTATGAGAACCTTGATCAAACGTAGGTTACATTATCTCAGTACTAATGGGGAATCAACTAGTGGATTTTATCAATGGAAAATTGATGTAGAACAGGTAAAATGACTCTATAACCCAAGAGTCAGCAAACCATGGACCACAGGCCATATCTGGCCCAGTAACTACTTTTAAATGGATTACAAGCTAAAAGCTTATACTATTCTACTTCCTGACTTCATGCCTCTGTCTTTCATATCTCATATACTTTTAAATGGTTGAACAAAATCAAAAGAAGAATACTGTTTTGTTATATGTGAAAATGATACAAAATTAAAATTTTAGAGTTCATAAATAAAATTTTATTGGACGATATCCACACGCAGTAGTTTATGTGTTATTGTCTATAGCTGCCTTTGTGCTACAATGTCAGCATTGATTAGTTGTGACAGAAATTTGTGGCCTTTTAAGTCTAAAATGTTTACTACTATTTGGCCTTTTTTCAGAAAAAGTTTGTGGATTCCTGCAGTAACCCATTAAACATAAGCACTTTAAGGACAAAGATTCTAAATATTTCTGAATGAATTAACAACTCTGTCTCTGATAATAAACATTAAAAATAATAGTTGGTGATCAGTGAATGGATGCAGAGTTGGTAAAAAAAAAAGTTTAATTATTCAGTATTCATATTCTGAGGTATTTCGTTATGCCTGCCAAAAAACCAAATTGATTAGGTTCTTCTTCCAATAAGATTACAAAGAACATCCCACAGTAACTATGTTGTTAATGATTGAAGTGACAAATTTGGGATGACAAGCCTTTTGGGATAGAATTGGACATACAGCACCATGGATTACAGATTACCTTTGTACTTGGCGATTTGTTCAGCACTTGGCTCAACAACTTCATTGCTGATATGAACTCCTGGGTATTGAGCCTGCACTTTGGAGAGAATTTGAAGATCAATTTCACCTAGAAAACAAGCATAAGGAATAGATCACATCAGTCCAGAAAGAAATGATTAAGAGTAATCTGGCCTGACTCACCAACCGTCACTCCTGACTGTGACCGTGACCTCGGGCTGGTGTCTTACCAGTCTGTTTGCCACACATAAAGGCATAAACTCTCCAGGTGTCTTTCAGTAATGACCAAGTTTTTATCCCAATGTCACAAAGAAACACCAATGGCCTCCCCAGGATGACCTCCAACCACCTGAAGATATTAATTAATTAATTAATTAATTAATTTCTTGAATCAGATAGGAGCAATTAGGGTGTTGCAAATCCTAATTACACAGAACTGTTAATCACGAGTCATGCAAACTCCAATCATCATGTTCTAATCTACCCTCCAAAGAGGAGGATCAAGTAAGGATTATCCTACCTGAGGATGAAGATATTTACAGAAGGAGCTTTGTTAAGTTTTCATAACATCTGTTATTGAGAAAAGTGAAGAGGGGCTTTCTAATTGGTGGAAAAACAGTTAAGAAAAAAATACTAATGAATATCTATAGGATCATGAGACCTGGCCTCGATGCCATTCTGGGACCCACAGGTGGAGGCAAATCTTTGTTTTAGATGTCTTAGTTGCAAGGAAAGAGCCACAGGGATTATCTGGGGATGTTTTGATAAATGGAGCACCTCAACCTGCCAATTTCAAATGTAACTTCAAATATAAATGTGGCACTAGATGATGTTGTGATGGGAACTCTGACAATGAGAGAAAATTTACAGTTCTCAGCAGCTCTTCAACTTCCAACAACTATGATGAAACATGCAAAAAAATGAATGGATAAATATAATCATTCAAGAGTGAGGTCTGGCTAATGTGGCAGATTCCAAGGTTGGAACTCAGTGTTTCCATGGCGTGTCTGGAGGAGAAAGAAAAAGGACTGGCATTGGAGTGGAGCGTATTACCGACCCCTCCACCTTGTTCCTGGATGAATCCACAACTGGCTTACATCCAAGCTCAGCAAATGCTGTCCTTGTGCTCCTGAAGAGATGTCTAAACAGGGATGAACCATCATCTTCTCCATTCAACAATCTTGTTATTCCATCTTCAAGTGTTTTGATAGCCTCAGCTTATTGGCCTCTGGAAGACTAATATTCCATGTGCCTGCTAAGGAGGCCTTTGGGTACTTTGCATCAGCTGTTCACCACTGTGAGCTCCATAATAACGCTGCAGACTTCTTCCTGGTGTCTTTTTTTTTTTTTTTTTAGCTGAGCCATCCTGCCACCTGTTGGCAGCTCAACGGCAGCTCAGTTCGGGCTGGGACTCAAACCACTTCCTGGATGTCATTAATGAAGACTCCTCTGCTGTGATATTAAATAGAGTAGAAGATGATGAAGCCAAGGAGACTGAAGAGCCTTCAAAGAGAGACAAGTCACTCATAGAAAAATTAGCTATTTTATGTCAACTCTGCCTTTTTCAGAGAAATGAAATTTGAGTTAGATCAACTCTCAGGGGTTCAGAAAGAGAAGAGTGTAGCTTTCAAGGAGAATACCTATGCCACTTCCTTCTGTCCTCAACTCAAATGGATTTCCAAGCATTTATTCAAAAACTTACTGGGCATCTATAGCTGAGATAATCAGAACAATCTTCCTGGGATTGGTTATAGGTGTCATTTTCTGTGATCTCAAAAAGACGCCCCATGGGAATCCAGAATAGAGCTGGGGTGCTCTTCTTTCTGACAATTAACCCATGTTTCAGCAGTAGGACATCCCTGGAGCCCTTTGTGTTTGGGGAGAAGTTCTTTATACATGACTGACTGTATCAGTGAATACTATAGAATATCATCTTGTTTCTTTGGAAAATTGTTATCTGATTTACTACTCATGAAGATGTTAGCAGGTATTATATATACTTGCATAACATACTTCTTGTTAGGATTGAAACCAGGTTGAAAGCTTCTTCATCATGATGTTTACACTTATGATGGTGGCTTACTAGCTAGTTCTATGGCACTGGCCATAGCAGCAGGTCAGGGTGTGGTACCCATAGCAGCCCTTCTCATGCCAATATCTTTTTTGTTTCTGATGATATTTTTCAGAGCTGTCAGTCAGTCTCAGAACCAGTGTGCCTTGACTATCAATGGCTTCAGTACTTAAGCATTCCTCAATATGGCTATGCGGCTTTGCTCCATAATGAACTTTTGGGACAGAACTTCTGCCCAGGACACAATACAGCAGCAAATAATACCTGTAGCTTTGCTATATGTGCTGGCCAATAATTCTTGCTAAGCCAGGGCTTCAACCTCCCACCTTGGGGCCTGTGGAAGAATCACGTAGCCTTGGCATGCATGACTATTGCATTCTTACAAGTGCCTACCTAAAATTGTTATTTCTTAAAAATTTTTTTCTTGAATCTCTCTCTATTTTACATAATTATCTATACATTAAAAAAGAAGCACCTTAGGATATGAAGAGACATTTCTCTAAAGAGGACATACAGATGGCCAACAGGCATATGAAGAAAATGCTCAACCTCACTAATCATTAGAGAGATGCAAATAAAACCCACAATGAGATACCACTTCACTCCAGTCAGAATAGCTATCATCAATAAGTCAACAAACAACAAATGCTGGCGAGGTTGTGAGGGAAAGGGAACCCTGGTGCACTGTTGGTGGGACTGCAGATTGGTGCAGCCACTATGGAAATCAGTATGGAGGTATCTCAAAAAACTGGAAATGGAACTACCTTATGACCCAGCAATTCCACTGTTAGATATTTATCCAGAAAAATCCAAGACATTAATTCGAAAAAATATATGCACCCCTATGTTTATTGCAGCGCTATTCACAATAGCCAAGACTTAGAAAAAACCAAAATGCCCATGGGTAGATGACTGTATTAAGAAACTATGGTACATTTGCACAATGGAGTATTACTCAGCTATAAAGAAGAAGGAAATCGTACCATTTGCAATGATATGGATGGACCTAGAGAACATTATGCTAAGTGAAATAAGTCAGTAAGAGAAAGACAAATACCATATGATCTCACTTATATGTGGAATCTAAAAAACTGAATAAATGAGACATGTAAACAGAAATAGTCTCAGAGACACAGAGGAAAAACTAAGTGTTGCTAGTTGGGAGGGGGTGGGGATGAAGGCGAAGGGGAAGGGATGAGACAATACAAATTGGTAACTACAATCTGACATCAGGGATAGAAAATACAGTCTGGGGAATATAATCAATAATATTTTAAATATTTTTTAGGGGTTCAGATGGTCTCATGTCTTGTTAGGGAGACCACTTCATAGGTGGTGTAGAGGCCTGACCACTGCACTGTATTTCTGAAGCTGATGTTGAATAATACTGTATGTCAACTATAATTATATATACATATAGTCACGGGATGTGGAGTAGAGTGTGGGAATGGAGTCAATGGAATTGTAACAAATAAGTATGACATCGGGGGGAGGGGAGGGCAGTGGATGGGAGGAGGGGTGTTGTTACTTTGTGAGGGTGAAAAGAATAACTATTGCATTGTTCTGTACACCTGAAACTAATAATTAAAAAAAATTATCCAATCAATAGGACACAAAGAAAAGATATTTTAAAAATGAACTGAGCTTCAGAGGCCTATGATATAATATTAGAACATGTGACATTTAGGCTATTGCAGTGAAAGAAGAGGGGGCGGGTATAGAAAAATATTTGGAGAAATTGTGTCCAAAACTGCATAGCTTTGATGAAAGATAAAAATTTATAAATTTGCAAGGGAAAACATATTACATTTTAGACTTTAAATATGTACAGTTTATTGTATGTGAATTATATCTCAATAAAGCAATTTTTAAAAGACCTGTCAAAAAATAAAGGAACACCTTGATTTAAGTATTCAAAAAAGTCTCTGTCTCACTTTTACTAGGAAAGCCCAGCATATATGAGCATAAAGAATAATGCTCAACTGTTGCTCTGTCACATTGTCTATGATGCAGAACAGCTAGGTTGTAAGTGGGAATAATAATGTGATTTGAGGAGGGCTATGATTGTTATTCATTCATTCTTTCAACATCTTATTGTATTACATTAAATCTAAGATGCCATTGGTTATAGGATGCAATCAACCCTTCCTTTTGTATCACTAAGTCAAAAAAGCACTGTTAATGAATTATAATTTTGAGATATCATTAACTAGAAGATGTATCCCAATTTCACAGATGTTAATATATGAAACAAATACACCTTAGAATGAACTAGGCTAGGCCAGAAGCATTCAAAAAATATATCAGATACAAAACATGTCAGGTACCAACTAGGTCACAAAAGTGTCAGACATCTGCCTTCAAAAACACCATTGTCTAGTGGAGGAGATAGACATGGAATGAACACTGACTGGGTTGAGCTGAGGAAAGGAAACCGTGAGGGACCGGATAGGAACAGAGGCCAGAGAGATGGAAAGCTTCATGGAGGGAGCTCACTCCTGAGCTCTGTGTTGTGGGGTAAGTGGAAGTTAACCCTGAGACTTCTGGGGAAGTGAAGAATTACATGTAGAGAGGACAGGAAGATGGAGGCAAGAAATCAGGAAGCAGAAAAGGGTACGTAGGACTACTGCCCATTCAGAGTTTTGGAATATTGGGCAAGGCAAGGCCTCCAAGAAAGAGGTCACACCAGAGAGGTAAATGGAGAAGAGGTTATGGCAGAAAATATATTTATGCATTAACTCAAGAACCAACTATTAATTGATTGTTTATTATGTGCCAAACACTGCACTAGGCTCTAGCAAATGATAAGAGACTTAGATACCTGCCTTGATGAAAATTTAGCTTGTAAGTGACTGCATTAGAGAGATGGTGGTAAGTTGGATAGACTTGAGTCCTGAACCTGTCTTCTACCCTTACTAGGTGTTATGATCTTTGGCAATTGGCTTTACTTCTCCAAGCTGTATTTCCCTCATCAGAAAAATAGCAATAATAGTACATAATTTATTGGTTGTGGAGGTTACACGAGGCAATATATATGA